TGCCTGCTATGCAATACCCTTTATCTAGGAAGCATCTAATAGGACATTCCTTCCTACATCAAGAAGTAAAAAAAAAAGCAGAGAGAAATCGTGGGGAGAGCAAACTCAAAATGGACAGCTGCCAAAATAGTAGAAGAAAGGACTAAAGTACTGGGAGGTAAAGTGGGAGCACTGTGGGACACCACAGTTTCCCCTAGAATGTGTGACATGACTCAGGCGGTGCTTCCTGCCCTATCCCTGCATGAGCTAGCAGAAATCTGTTAATATTCAGGATAACAGCGACAAGAATCAGTTTAGAGGCTCAATTTAATTTCCAGGCTTTCTGTAAGCTCATCTTTGTCTGTTAGCCTTGTTTAATACTCATGGCTATTTAACCTACTAACACAATACTGAATGCTAAGCTGTATCGGTTCCAAAGCCAGTTGCTCATTTGCAGTTTCAGTTTGCCCATGGGCAGATAAGCTCCACGAAGGCAGACTCCTGCTGGCAGTTCACTAAACGACCTTAAAGATGACCTCCAATTTGGTTTGAATGAGAGCTACATTCGCTACACCAAGAAAAGTGTTCAAAAACCAGTCTGTGAATTTCAGAATATGTCCAGAATGTGGCTAATGGATAGAAAACAAATGAAACAAGTAGTGTAACCAGATTAAGGCTTGTTAGCTATTACAGGGCTTGCAAGTGATACAAACGCAGTGAGCCACTGCTGCATACCACAGTCCTCCCTCTCCCTTTGTTTCCAGAGCATGTCTGGTGTGCTGGGGCTCATGCAGGGGAAACAACCACCACCTTAGTGGGCACTTATCAGTGAGACATTCTACAGATATGTGGCATATGGCCTGGACATAACACCACATCTGGTCCCCAAAGTCTGTATTTAGAGTGATGCTGGAGTTAGTTACAAGCCATGGATACTGTGGTGTGGAGAATCACACAGCTGAGGGACAAGAGCTGCCGGGTATTGCTGGGTACCAGTTGTGTCTGGGTGCCAAAGGGGACAGGTGATTCTGGGCAGGTACAGGCTCCTATGTTCCCAGCAGATGCAGTCTGTGTGAGAATTCTCATGATGCCTATCCATTTCCTACCTGGAAAGGAAAAGTCATTTGTTCTGAAAAAAATATGTGCCAAAATAGAGTGAGCCAAACTTGTTGCCTTACTCAGCAGCACCAAGTGTTTCTACACTGATGCACAGTAACTTGCTCCTTAGCTATGTCCTCAGCAGTGCCAGGGCCTGATCCAGGCCAGGGAGCCTGGATCAGGCAGCAAGGACAGTCATAGGAGAGTACTCAAGCCTGTGCTCTAGCTCCCTCCAGTTTGCTAAGGGGAAAGCCTGCTGAGCACTGGACCCAGTTGTTCACACCACTTACATGTTTACCTTTTTCCCAGCTCCACTTTCAATAACTCCCTTCAGGCTTCTGTGGAGGAGCTAGCCCCAGTATGGATGCACATGAATCCATGCCAATCAGCCTTCTTTCCCTCAGCAGTATAGATAGGCTGTGCTTAGTGATGCTTAACACAAACTTCTCAAACTGAGATCTTGACTGCAGACATTCAGCAGATCCTATCCATTTTTTAACTAACTTATTCCTTGGGCAAGGCGTTGCTTAGGTTTTTCAGGAACAGTCCTTGTAAAGTCTTCAGCACAAGGGTACACCATAGTCATGATGAAACCGATTATGCTAAAATAATGTTAATACTGGACCTAAAAGAGGAAATTCAGTATCTTAAGTTACTAAAATATATAAAGTGCAGTGTTATCAGTATCCCAGTAATTTTAAAATCTTGTTGAATTAAATTAACAGGGAAAACTTTGGTGGGAGCAAACTCTTCTAATGATTGAAGTTTAAAATATGGCACTTTTTTCCAGCTCTGAATATATGCCTGCATTTTTTCTCACCAGTTAGCGCCAAAAGAGAGTACTTTGATGATAGATGTTCAATTTCAGCTTGGAAAAAAGCTTATTTTATTTGCACTTACCTCATTACTACAGAGACATCTTATAAAAAGTAGACAAATATGTTTCACAAATGTTACTGTCTGTCAGAAAGTTATGTATTCATATTCCTTTTATAGCACTGACACAGGAAAATACCAGGAGAAGACATAAAAGTGTCATAGGCAGTGCTTGGTGCTGGGATGTTGAGATGACCTGGTTTAGGCCCAGTATGCAGCCACCCTGTGCCAGCTGGCAGCCAGGACACCCCAGAGGCTGGAGCCCCTTGTGTCTTTAAGACCCAGGGGCAAGGACTGGTAAAAAGAGGCTTCCTGGGTATGTTGATTCACTTAAAACCCATTTTTGCTTTTGATTCTTAAATGGTCAGCTATTAATTTTTAATTTCCGTGAATGTAAAACTTGACTCCATTTGATTCACTGCAATCTGGCATCCCCTGAGGGGTTTTATGGGTTTTTTTTCCATTTCTTCCACAGTTTACAGCTTGCCTCAGCATAGCGATGCATTGTACTGTGAAATGATACAATTTAATTTATAGTTGAACTGACACTGCAGCTTGAGGATTAAAAAGTCTGAAGTGTTTCATATTGTTTCCTAAAAAACCTTAGAGAGCCTGGAATGATTAAACTGCAGCACAGTCTGCAGAAGAAAATATTATTTTATATCTAGACTGGGATCTATCTGGGATCTAGCCTAGGCCTTGGATCACCTCCTGCCTGATATTTTCATAAAAATCCAGCTGACCCTGAAAGAAAAACTCTAAAACACTTGATGAGTTTTTCCTCATCTATCTCATCCCAGTTCAGTGGCTGGGATGCTTATGACTTTTAAAATTTTACTGAGGAAATGACACACATCAAAAGCCTTTCTCTCTGTTTGAATTTGACATTGCCTGTACCAGGCTTTATACACTAGGAAGCTTTTTAAAGCTCTAACTTAATGCTCTGTAAGAGGAAATGAATCCATAAACCCTGAAGGACAGGCACATTCAATCAATATAAACAAGTGCTCCAAATTTCAGTAATTTAAGCTTCCTTACACTTTGATTCATTTGTATAAAACATATTTTGTTTCTTTGAGAGGGTTCTTTCTACATGTGGATTAAGAAACATCAATACAATTAACGGCACCACGGACAAACAAATGCTTTTTTCCTGGACTTCGCTAAGGAAATCCATTTTTATTGTTAACAGGAATTTTATATTTTTCATAGAATTTTCATGCAACAAAAATACTAAAAGTATACAATTTCTAAACATTTTCTGAGCAGCAGTAGGTTTGATCTTGAGCACAGACACAGTCAATTAGCATATCAGATAAAACAGTGGACTCAAACTATTATTTAAGCCTGTGAGAACACGGATCTGCTTGTATATGTAGATAAAAAAACAGTTCTTCAAAAATTACATAGCCAATTGTGTTAATTATGACTTCTGAAAGTATTATACACAGAAATTTTTAACAGGTTTGAAGAATAATGCACTGGTATTATGAAACGTAAACTTTTGTCAAGAAGCTCAGCATCTACTATTCCGTCTTCAGAGAACCACTATTTCAGAAAAGTCACAGCTCTATTTTAATTCCTACTATATAGGGTTGTTTTCTCACACGTTTCCTCTATTTCCATGTCATTTCATTACTTCTTTGTGAAGAACATGAAAATAAATAAAAGAAACCTATTGATTGGGTCATCTTCTTGGGATTCTACAGAAGTAAGTTCCTCTGAGGTGTGAGCACCTTGGAATCCTCAGGAGTTCACGTACAGAAAAAAATACAGACTCACTAAGCAGACCAGACTTCTGTGTTCCTTGTATTTCTCTGTGGTTTAGTTCTAACATAGACTGTTTAGTTGAATATTGCAATAACATACTTTTTTTAAAATATCAAAGAAAACCACTTTGATGATATATAATAGAATTCATTTGTCAGTCTGGTAATTTCAGAAGAAAAACTGCAAATTTTTGGAATGATGAGAACACAAGTGCTTTTAACTCTGTTTTGAACATAACAATCAAAGGCAGTATGGGGCTTGGATGATGTTTCTGGCTCTTCTGTTTGCAAAATCCACTTTAATTAGTGGCAATTTTATAAAGGGAATGCAAGACAGGTATTGGCCACAGGGTGCTTTGGAAAAAATACAAACTGTAAACTATAGACGGATATATGTAATTAGGGTTTAATAATAAAAATCAGTCATGCAGCACTTTCTACCAAAATGTAAGTGCTTTATAAATTCTAATTTAGCTACGAGATACAACTACCTCATTTTACAATGAATGTTTATTATTAATCATGTTTAACGGCAGCACTGGCAGCTGAAGTGACCTTCTGAAGAACATACAAAAAGCAATAAAAAAACCCCTTTCTGCCAGTGTTTCCACTCATACCAGAAAAACATTTGTGAAGGTGGTCAGCCTTTTTTCCCCTCAGTTAGCTGCAGCTATTATTTTATGGAAGGAAACCTCCATACAAAGCAGTTTCATTAATGGTACTGGCATTAAATTCACTGGCTTACTTCTTGTTTAGGGAGTTGACATCTTATAGTAATACCTTAACAGTGACAGTATTTTTCATATAGTGTCTTGTGTGACTTGTGAACTCCTCCTACAACAAACACAGCTCAGACACGGCCCTCCACACCATGCCCTCAGAAAGCAGCGCTGCCAAGTCAGCCCCTGCCCTGGGCGGAGGAACAGACGATCCAGGAGGCTGCAGCATCCCCTCGGTCCCAGCATGCCCAGCTCCGCGTGGGGCCTCGGGGCGGCTGAGCGGAGGAAGGCAGGAGGGACGCGGTGGCAGGAATGGGGTTTCCCGCCGGGAAAACCACGACGGCTCCCGGAACGGGACAACGAAAACAAGCCAGAACTCCTCCGCCCTCACGACCGCTGGCCCCGCCCCCCGCGCGCGCGCACTGCGCCCCTCCCCTCCAGGGAAACCCCTCCCTTCCCGGTACGTCACCCGCGACCCGCCCAATCAGGAGCCGGGGCTCAGGCGGCGCCAAAGCGGCAAAGGGCGGGCACGCGCCGGGGGTTCCCTCGGTCCCGCCCCCGGGGCTCCCCCCGCCACGTGACCGGGGCCACGGCAGCCGCGCCGGGGGCGATGCCCGGCGGGAAGGTACCGGTGGCAGCGGGACGGGAGGAGAAGGGGCTCTGCCGGGACGGGACGAGACGGGGCGGTGCGGACCAGGGAGCACCGCCTTGGCCGCCCCTCAGGGCCGAGCTGTGGCGGCCCTTGTGCCGGGTCCTTGTGGCCTTGTGGCCTCCCCTCCCGACCCCGGGGCAGGGGCCGCGGGGGTAGATGGGGGTGGCGGAGGAGCCATTGCCGCCCCGCTGCCCCCTCCGGTCCGGATCCAAGGCGATACCAGTGCTGGCGACCCGCCGCGCTGGAGCGGGGGGCGGGAACACGGTCCTTCCCCGCGTCCCTGGTGTGCGCGGTTGCGCAACGCTGACAGTGCGATCCATCCTCGCACAGCTGTTCCGGCGGGAGAGCGGGGCTCAGCCTGCTTGTAGATGGCAGTCAGGGAAAACGTGCAGGGAGAGTAAAACTGTGACAGGAGAAGAGACTTGTCAGAGTTGCCAGGATTGATATTGTTTTGAGCAGCTTCTCTTCTCCGCGTGGGAGTTGGAGTGGAGGGAGGAGAAGCACCCCGTGCTGTTTTTCAGTCTCCTTCCTTCGGTAGTTTGCTCGGTGCACTGGATGATCCTCGCAGGACGGCAATCAGGATGTGCGCTCTCTGATTTGCAATGCTTATGCTAATGTTGAGGCACTGCTGGAAGGCAGACTACAAATGTCGTTTTTCGGTATATAAATACAATTAGAGGTCAAATGACAGATCTGGTTCCTAAAGCATTTTGTTTAAAATGGTGCAAATATTCAACGGATTTTTAAATATAACCCCATTTAAAGTAAATTTTAATGGACGAAAATGTCAACAGCAAGCTTAAAAATAACCTGCTATGTTTCATTTAAATTTCCTTGTAATACTGACACTATACACATTTTCTTCTGAAAGGTTTTAAGTCCTTGACTAGTGAGAAGCTGCACGTTTCAACTGCCGATATTTAACCAACCCTTGTTGCAACGTGATAGCAGCTTTTGATAATAGTAGTTTCTTTTGCAGACAAAGATAACGTTCCTTGTTACTTTATAACTTTTTTCACTGGTCAAATGAAAATAGAACAGTCCTACCCACTTGCTGACTATTAATTAAAATGATTAAGAGGAATCCAACCTGATACATAACAAAAAGCTATGATACTGTTATTGTATACTAAACATTTTGGATAACTAAATTTTGTGAAAGCTTTTCTAAAATACTTCTGTTTTAACCATTTTGATAGATTGCAGATTTCTCTCTAACTCCTTGGCGCCAGTTATTAATATAAAGTACCACTTCAATAGTATTCTTATTCCATGAGAGGTTTTTTTTCAATATAAACACATAGTAATTTATACTTTTGCTTAAAAAAGGATGTATAGCTTAAAAAGTCCCAACATTCAAATGGTAAACTTATATACACCAAAGTATGTCAGTCAGTGATAATAACCTTTCATTGAGAGTAGTAAAAATCATGAACACAAAGAAAGGTTTTGAAACAGTGTTTTAAAAATTTTGGTCTCACATCAATAGCAATGGAAAAAGTATTGTGAGATTTTAATGTGGTTTTAATATTTCTTTTCTTTCCCATGTGCATGCTGACATGTGGGGAAGGAGGCAGGTCATCATTGCTGTCATTGACTGTGGTCAACTTGATGCAGACCTGTCTAGGGATGTCTGTGTTCTTGCGAATCATCTTTGGAAAATATACGTGCTGGTTTTCATAGGAATGAAAAAATAATCTTGGCTGGAAAAAAAATACAGACTATGGCTTTAAGTATGCAACCTTTATTTAAATTCTCACTTGAGGGTTTAAAGTTCAAGGATGTTTTCTTATTAAATTAAAACTTCATTTTCTACCCAGGCACTAAAACCAGTAATTACACTATCAGAAGCTCAATAGCATGACTACTGAGTTTTGTTGAAAATGAGAAGCCTGTTGTCAAATTCAGTTTTGTTCTTTTTTAAAGTTGAACTTTTGAAGGCCAAGACTCCTTGCTTTTAGTTTATGAGTACTTTTCAGTGAAGTCTGTGAGGACAAAGGCAAAAGATGATGATGGCTGTTGCTCAGTGTTTGATATTTGTTTCTGTGTACTTTTATGCAATTGTTCCCCTCAAAGGTTTTTTTAAAAAAAACTCAAAAAGTCTCTGGTACCTAGAGCTGTGATTTTTCAGTACTTTTTCATTCTGCTCTGTTTAGGAAGATTACAATAGTTGCATTTGAATACTTTTGAGTGATGCTTAAGTGACATGACTAACTATTTGGATTTGTATGCTAGTAGCAGGAGTTCATGTAGTGAAATATTTTATTTTTGTCCTTCAGCTGATATTGTTTTTTGTGTTAGAGAAGGTGAAGCATCATGAAATGCCACTTGCATATGAGGTAGATAATATATAGGGTCTTGTGTTCCTGGGGATTCTTCTCATGGTTTTTGGAGCAGCCCCAAGAAAATGGGATTGTCTGGAGTGTAAAGGGTTGTGTAGTAAGCAGCCTTTGAGCATATGGTCCCAGTGACTTCATACAGGGTATTTCTGGGTAACAAGTGTTTGGTGTTAGTAACCATACAGATTGGTTGAGTGGAGATGTTCTAGATAGGAACATCTATTTAAAAATCAAATCCAGTCCACCTGACCCATACTTTTAGTAGTCTGTTGTGTAATCACTATGTATATTTATGTGTGCCTCTCTTTTCCTCACACCTGAACCTATGTAGGCTGACTTATTTTTGTCTCACTGGAAATAACTGAAGGAGTAATGGGGGTTTGCTTGCCGTGCCTTTCATGAGGAGGGCTTGATCCTAATTCTGCTGACACCAACAGGAGTAATTAAACCTTCTTCTATTCCTTTAGAAGGAACTGTTCCAGAGACAAAATGCAATGCTTTTGTGAGCAGAGATCAACAATTTCTTTATAAGGTAGCCATCTTAGCCTCTCCCTTTTTAACTCAAAAATTCAGAGGTCATATTTTGTCTTCTGACACCCTACTTAATTCTCAAGGTTTTTTGCCTGACTCTCTTTTTTTGTAATAAATCTTGATTTTATGATGTATGCTGGGTCTACATGCTCTATCTCTTTTGAGCTTGATTCAGTGATTTTTTTTTTAATACCAATATCTTGTTTCAAGACACTTAATGCATGCCTTTAATAAATTACACAAGTTATTTTTTGTCTGCCCTAATTTTATTCCAGACGAGAAAGATTCTTTACCTTGTGACTCAAGATTAAGAGAACTCACTGTTGTTGCTGCATTTCTTTGGGAGCAGCACAGCCTTCAGATTAGCTTCATTATAAATATTTACTCCTGAGAAGTAAATTTCTTAAAATATTAGTTTCTCTGTTGTTTTGAAGGTGGCTGGGGCATAAGCCAAGAGCCTTTAAAACTTACCATTTCTGCATGCCATCTGATGTATTGCTGTGGCAAAAGTCCTTGGACGCCAGACCTCTGTGCCAAGGTGGCCGAGGAAGAGTTACAGTGCCCTCCTCAACACGGGCACTGTCCCACCTTGCCCGAAGGCAAAGAGCTAAACAGAGGCCCCATAGGGCTGCTCCCGGCTCCCTTGCACCTGCTCCCAGGCCCGTGACTGCACTGCCTTGGCCACGCTGTTACCGTGGTGCATTTGTGATTTGAAGCACGGTGACACCAGCAGCATGTGCAAAGTGTAGTCACTGTGTTTTCCTTCTGTTTGTTGCATAGTAGTCTTCATCCAGGCAGAACTCTCTGGTGTCACTGTGTCCCTGGGAGTTTTTCTTCTGAATCATGTCTTGAATCCTTGTAGCTACGTATATCTGTACCTCCTTTCTATTACACCCAATTTTCATATTGCAGGTTTTTAATAAGAATACATTTGTGTGATTTCCATTTATATCTGCACATAAACATTACTTCATGCATGTTGAAATGATGCACTTTTTACACGGCACAGTTTTCCTTTGAAAAAAAGCTTGTTGTGTGTATGTATGTGTGTACAAGCACCCATACATACATATGCATACGTGCATTGCTACGATGACAAATCCTCCTCTCAGTAACTGTGGATTGTAGCTGTAGGTCCAGTTTCCCAAATTCACATCAGGTATTTATATGGAGAGATTTAAATTGACAAGGCGTTTGGAATGGGGGGAGTTGTCTTTACGGTTTGTTTTTTCAGTTTTTTTAAGATGGTCTAGGTTGTGGGAAATGGTGGAAAGACATTTGCATTAAAAGCACAGAGCTCAAAGCCACTGCTGTCAATATCAGCAATCATAAATCCTTCTTTCTCTTCCTCCAAATGGTGCCTGCCAGAAATTTGCAGTAGCTGAGGAAAATCTCATGTAGAGGGTGTATTTCTTTTACTTTCTTGGTTTGTGACTTCGGGGACTGTTTTCAATTTTTCTGTGACTATAATGGCTATAAATTTTTGTGTGGTGGTAGCAGAAACTCTTAGATTTTCCTTTACCTAGGGAGCAGATGCATGGTGAAACTGAGAGGTACTTAGCCAGAGCTGTCAGCAGTGCTGATGGTTCTTCAGGTTGTAAGTAACCTGACATGGTGTTAAGCAGCTGCTGGAGTGCTGCCACTGGTTCTTGTATCTTTTCTTTTGCTGCTATGCCAGCTGTTGGTAACTAGTGCTTCTTCCCAAAGAAGTTTTTTGACAGTTTGGTTCATTGTTGCTGTGTCTGCACAGAGTCTGGCAAGTGCCAAGTGCTTGGGAAGATGGGGAAGAGTGGACTCCAGTTGCTTCTGGTTTGTCATGGAACCAACTGCCCTGAGACAGCCCCATAGTGCTGCTCTGAAAACCTGAACAGCTCTGCCTTTTTTCAGGCTAGTGAAGTGCAAGATTAAATAACGCTCATCTGTCGTTAAGTCATTAACCATAAGGACTCTCTTTTTGCCTATCACAGCCGTGACTGTTGTGCTTCTGAATTCCAGCTGTTTAAAAGTCACTTCCAGTGCCACTTCACATTGCACTGTAATAATCTAAATATATGTAACCATGTAAGCATAAACCCAGCTATTTGTTCTACTCATATTAGTCTGTTTTTTTTAACCTTGTCACCTGTAAGCATGTCCTTTCTGTATGCACCCCAACCCCTCTTACTTGGGGAGAGGGAGTTAACATGTAGCCTTTATCCTGATTTTTATATGTCATTCCCATAATCCGGACAGTTGTGCACCAATGGACATACCTTGCATTCATCAAAACTGAAGCGTCCTGTTTAAGAAATAAGCTTAGATGAACTTCATTTTATACTGTAAATCTTTGTCTGCAAAATGTATCTTGCAAAGTCTTCTCAAAGCTACAAAAACAGGCATATAAGCAAGACTTCCAGGACTGGCTAAGGTTAAAAAGCAATCAACCAAAAAACCCCCCAAAACCCCCAAAAGACCAACTAACTCAAAACTAGAGCCACAATGTGTTGTTGAGCCTTGTTGCCCTGCTGGCTGTACTGTTAACTCTGAGCCTGGCAGATGTCATCCAGTCTGGGGACGTGGAGGTAAAGGAAATGACTCCAACTGGAGTGAGGCTTTGCTGTGACATTTTGCAGTAGAACCAAAAAATGGGCCTTGATTTGTTTCAGTAACTAATATTTGCCCTGTCCATGCTTTCTTCAGTGCAAAAGGAGAAGTATTTACTGAGAGGACATGGAAATTGAGGCTTGGGCCAGCATCTTCACTGGGAGGAAGGCAGGGCTTAAATTCTCTTTCTGTCAGTGCTGTAGCCTGCTTACCTGACATCGTGTCCTTAAAATGCTGTTGATTCTATATTTAATACCACATCAGATTCAACGTTGTACTTCTCATATATCTGCGGGAGTAGTTATGGGGACAGTTTGACTTTGGTGACAATGACCTCTTGTAGTAGCTGCTTTGCAGTGTAAATGCCCCCAGCAGTTTTAGAAAAGGCTCTTAGCAAAATCAGTTACCATCAGAGGAAACTGCAAAGCCCATTTGTTTTACTTTTTCTTACCATGAGGCAGAAGGACAGTATCATTGGAGGGGTGAAGTAAGATGCTGTTCACTGTACTTGTTTTGATCCTGTGAGCACTGAAAAATTCTGTGGAAAACAAATATGCATTGCCAGTTACAAAATGGACAGAAAGTGCTCTCAGGCACTTGGTGTGCTTCTTGGGGCTGTACTGTGCAGGGCCAGGAGCTGGATTTCGATGATCCTTGAGGGTCCCTTCCAAGTCAGGATATTCTATGATTCTACTTTTTTTTTAGTGTTATTTTTTGTGTGCATATGTTAGTTTGACATTGTAGTGGGTTGAGCCTGTCTGGATGCCAGGTACCCATTAAAGCCACTCTCTTACTCCCCTCTGCAACTGGACAGAGGAGAGAAAATACAATGAAGAATTAATGAGTTGAGATAAGAGCAGGGAGAGGTCACTTACTGATGACCATCACAGGCAAAACAGACTCAAAGTGGGGATATTAATTAAACTGATTACTAACAGGATCAGAACAGAAGAGTGAGAAGTAAAATAGTCTTAAAAATACCTTCCACCCTCCTCCCTGCTTCCAAGTTCTACCTCCTGCCCACCAGCAGTGCAGGGAGATGGGAATGGGGATTATGATCAGTTGTTTCTGCTGCTGCTCAGGGAGAGGAGTCCTTTCCCAGCTTTCCATGGGGTCCCTGCCATGGGAGACAGTCCTTCACGAACCTTTCTGGTATGAATCCATCCCATGGGCAACAGTTCTTCATGAAACTGCTGTCCCGTGGGTCACTTTTCTGTGGGGTGCAGTCCTTCAGGCACAGGCTGCTCCAACGTGGGTCCCCCACAGGGCTGCAACTCCTACCAGGAAAACCTGCTCTGGCATGGGCTCCTCTCCCCATGGGTCAGCAGGTCCCTGCCAGGACCCTGCTCCATCATGGGCTCCCACGGGCTCTCAGCCTCCTTCGGGCATCCACCTGCTCCAGTGTGGGCTCCTCCATGGCCTGCAGGTGGGTCTCTGCACCCTGACGGTCCTCCATGGGCTGCAGGGGCACAGCTGCTCCACCATGGTCTGTACCACAGGTTGCAGGGGCCTCAGCTCTGGTACCTGGAGCACCTCCTTCCTCTCCTTCTGCACTGACCTTGGTGTCTACATTCTTGTTTACATCTTCTCACTCTGCTCTTCTCTGGCTGCATTTTTCATCTGCTCAATAACACTTTCCCCCCACCCCTTCTTGACTATGTTACCTTGGAGGCGTTACTGTCATTCCTGATTGGCTCGGCCTTGGCCAGCGGCAGGTCTGTCCTGGAGCTGGCATTGGCCTCACCAGACATTGGGGAAGCTTCTATCAACTTCTCATAGAAGCCACTCCTATAGCCCCCACCCCCCTGCTACCAAAACCCAGCCACAGAAACCCAACACAGACATCTATGTTACAGTCCTGATTGACCAGTCTGGCTGAAAATGTGTGTGCTGATTAACTTAACTTTGGAGAAATACTTTTTTTATAGGTAGGAACTGTTGTTGCTTGAAAGAAAGTATATAAGAAGAAGACAGGTGTATTCAGGCAGATAATATAGTCAACATTTTGAGAGATAAGTTTCAGTAGCATACCAGGCTGAGTTGTTTATCATGCTCAAGTTCACTTTTTGTGTGTGAACTTTGTTGAATCTAAGAGATAGCTTTGGATGTGGTAATAGGCAATTCTCTCATCTTCAGCTAATTTCAGATGTTACAATCCGTTGCATTAAATTAACACTGGATGCAAAACCGAATCCTATTTCATGATTTATGTAATAATCCAAATGATTTCTGGCATCCTATGTAAGGGGAAGGCAACAGATCATCTACTTTTTGGGGGGAGTAGTGGTTATGAAAACAAATCTAATTCTTACAGCTAAAGAAGTTTGGGTGTTTCTTGTTTGGTTGGTTTTTTTTAATGGAGAACTGTATAGTGATATCTAGTTTGACCTGCTACATAAACAGAATTAAATTAGATGTGAGTTTGAAGGAATTATTTATTTAAAGTGTATTTTGCGGAGCTGTTCCTGTTTTACATAACGTTTTTAGCTTCACTGAGCAGCTATCAGGTACTACTAGATGTAGCTTAGACCAAAAGAAAGTGTACTAATCAAAAATTAAATTTACCCGTGACATTGGTAGTGGTGTCATTACTTAGTGTTGCATGAAAAATGGTTGCAAATGTTTGAGACTTTTTTTTCCCCAGCTCATTAAAAATTGGAATTTATGCTTGTAAATATTCAGAAAATACTGTGGGCAATCTAAATTAAGTAAATTTAAATTAAGTAAATATGTATACTGTGTTTTTAATGGGTTTGTTTTTCCTCATAGCGGAAGAGACTTTGGAATGCAGAATGCACACCCTTCCCAGATGAGACACCCCTACATCTGAAAAAATCAAATGTCAGAACATCACTGGCTGCTACTTCGATTTCCAATGCGTGGCTTAGGTGTGGGGATGGTTTTCAGAGCACTTCAGTGCTGGAGGTAAAATGCTGACATAATGGTGTAAGAAAGAGATGCAAACTGGCAGTTAGTTTCCATGCTTGACTGAATAATAAGATGTTGCCTTTTTTTTGTTGTTGTTTCCATATTGTTACAACTGTCAAAACAGACAAAAAATGGAAAGCACAGTTATATAAGGACATTGTCTTAACTTGTTAGTGTAACTTACTGAGCATATGTTAATACATTATGTTCTAGATAGCACTTATCACTTAGAAAATTTCAATAATACACTGAAGGATGTGAAAGTGATTTGGCATTTGAGATGGACTGCTACATTTCCTAAAAATGTGGAACAAAAAGACTGTAGTTTGCATTGAAGGTTTTTTGCTGGATCTAAATAATGTGTTTGCAATAGTGAATTCACTGTAGAAAATCCTGCTTTTTGATGACCCTGCAGATGTGGATCTTGGTGCTCTCTCAGATAATACATCAAATTATGCTTAACTTCTTGTGCATGTGTTACTCTTGTTGATCATGAACAGAGATGTTCAGCCAGCTCTTAGTGAGAAGTGTTTTGTGCTGAAAATCATTATCAACCAAGTTGCTTTTCTGTTTCTTTTTTCTGGTACTGACCGGTCACACTGTTGCATAGCTTGTGGGATTTAGTGAAAAAACAGGGACAGCGTAACCAAATACTTCTTTCTGTAACCTTTGAATAGGGCACATGCTTTATCAAGCATGCTGTTGCTATGCACTTCTGACATTTTAATGCTGAAAATACTGGCTCTTGTTCTTCTCAAGGTCATATGTGATTCCTGTCATAGTCACAGTAAGTTTGTATGTTCCAAATCTTTGAAAATTCAGCTTTTATGTTGCTGTTCTCATGCTTTGATACCCTGTTCACTATATCACAGTCTAGTAGAAGACAGAAAAATTAATTTGAAATTCTGCTGCTGAGCTTTGGTGGGTGAATAACAACAGCTTTGAATATATTGATACATGTTAAAATTATTTTTAATGTCTTAGTGATTAAATCTCTCCCTCTGTCTCTTTTTAATATAGTACCAGAGGCCTACTAATAAGAAATCAAGGATTAAGAAGCATCTTGGACCACTGTCAACATCTGCTGAAAGTGCAGCAAGTATGTTATAATTATTTCATGTTACCATTGTCAGAAGATTATCACTTTGTTTTTTGCCTTTATTAAGGTAGAAGTTGGCATAATATACTGGTTACTTTCTTCTTCTGTTATTGTAATCAGAAGCTAATTTTTATAAGACCCGGTCTCTTGCTATTGTTGTTGGTCTCTTCTCTTCACCTAGAGTACCAAATATATTCTACAAAGCTGTAGTCACTCAGCTATTGCCCTTGAACAGGTGAAAGAAGCATCACTAATGCTATATATGGTTATAACAAGGACAGGATATTTAAATTCTTCACATTTTTAACAGGAGGGGAATGAAAGATACCCCTTAGCTGTATAGATTGAGGGTAAAATTATTTTGTTTTCTGCTAGAGACAGACAAGCAGGCATGAGAGACAACATGCATTTTGTAAATATGAGCAATAGATAGAAAAATAATTTTGTCAACCTCCTGCTTTTACAATCTTCTATATGCACCTGAGTCATTTAATACTGTGATTAAAAAAAAAAAGAACTCCAAGCACAATAAAGAGAAGGAGGACTTATCAGTTCCTTCCCTTTTTGAGCCTGGAGGAAAGGAAAGAAAGAGGGGGTAATGGTTTCTTCAGTCTCTATTTCTACTTGGTCTAGCAGCTGTGCTGTTTCTGTTGGACCTAAGTAGGTGACCTACTGGGCACTTGCTGTCTACCTTTTGGGGTTCTAGCTTTTCTAGATTTCTGAGAAGAACCTCTGTGTGTTGCAGGAGGAGATGTGGTTGTTTCTTGTGGGCCCTTCTGCCTAATTCCAAATCCCTGGTAATCGTCTAACTTCCCATTTATATATAAAGTTTTAGTAGTGTTAAGAAGTGGAAAGTTCTGCCTTCCTATGATTACTAGTTCTATATACTTCATGCTAAGCACAAATCCTCTTTTCCTTGCTTTTGTTATTAAAAGTGATGGAGAAAGGTATTTTGAGTTAAAATGTCTTACTTTAAAAACCCAACAGCTTTTCTTTGCAACTTCTGAAAAGTTGTGCTTTTCTTTCTCCCCCCTCCCTCTCAGGAAAAAACTGGAGAGTAGTCTCTACTGGTGAAATACTTTTATTCGTTTGTTATTCATTGCATGAAATCAGAGAAATCCCAAACCCGGAATTCTAAGGACAGTCTTTATTTACACCACTTTTACAAAGACATGTGGAGGAGCATTAGGACTGTGTATAGAGGACTAAATGTCAGATAGTCATGACTTGTCATCATTCTGCTGAAGGACAGAGTGATAACCTCATTGTATAAAATGAAGTTTTACCATTTATTATGGAGAACCAAAAGGAAAATAATGCATGTATGTGTAAGAAATGTGTGTGTTGATGCTTCAGGATTAATCTATGGTGCCTGTACCAGAACTGATAATTTTTTCTTATTAAAAATAGTATAGTTTAATTTTTAATAATTTTAAATCGAACAGAACTTCCTTTCTGTAACCATCTAACACTTTACTTTTTAATAGAAGCTTCTGCTGCTGCTGAAAGCTCTAGGGAAGCCGAGGACATAATATGGACCTCTAGTGGCAGTGATTTTTCAGATGATGAAAATAAAACATTGATTCCAAGGTTGCACAGCAAAAAAAATCACGCTTCCAAACCAGAGGAATCGCCTAGCAGGCATGATTTATTGTTGGAGGACAAAAGTAGTGAAGGTAAGTTCAAACGCAAGCAGATTTATCAAGAAACCTTCTGTCAGCTTCAAGTGCTGTAATGAGAATACTCCGAGGTCATTCTGACAAAATGATATGATCTAATCCTGTTTTGGTTGAAAACAGGATTTTTTTCATAAATTTGGGGTTTTTTTCATAAATGTCATCTGGGTATAGAACAGGCTCTTGGTATAAATTATGTACAAAAACTTTAAACCTTAGAGTAAAGGAGCAAAGCTGGGGAGATGATATAACATTGAGTAAAGCGTGTCAGTTCATTTCAATATACTGTAGTTTATTTGTACTATTTTATTTTCTGTGCTGTGGTACAGATTCTGGGGTTGTGAACAGCCTTCTCTGCCTGCCCTGTTCTGCAGGTGATATTGTTGTCTGCATCTACTGACTAGATGTGGCAGACTTTGCAGCTGCAGATAGCACCATATTCTGTGGCACGCATTTTCATTTTGGTACACAGTATTCCTTGCTTTCCATGTTAGCTCTACTGTGAGCTAGCCATGAGTTTGGTTCTTAGGATTTCCTTTCTAATTCATGAAGCAGGAAACGGCAGAGGGGAGAGAAATTGATTAAAAAGTGTGCCTGAAGACAGAAAAATCTTTACTTGTGTGCTGTATTATTACAAGCGTTAGTTAGGATAATGTGTAAGTTGCATTAGAACTTGTTGGGAAGTATTTTCATTGTGAAAAATAAATAGCTTTGTATTACTTCACCCAGATCTGAAGCATTACAGCCAGATTTCACATTCTGGATGTCTGGCAAAGTGTTCAAAGACCATTATGAGCTGAACAAATGGATTGACTGATTTACTTTTTTGTATGTGACTCTGGATAAACATGCTCCTTAGGTTTAGAACAAAAATGCAAAATCTTCCTCCTTTCATCCGTATTTTTATCACCAATTTAACACTGTCATTGACATACTGATGGTTATGTTTTGTAATTTCTAGTAATTTTCTTCTTTTTGAAATGGAAGGACTGTCCATTTTTTAAACTGCAATCTTTTGCTGACCAGGAATCTTTCTAACCTGCCATTAGTATCATTCTATTGCACTTGTCTCATGCAAGTGGGACCCTGCAGGCTTTAATCTCTTTTTTTTTTTTTTTTGAGACAATACACATTCTTATTTTTAATCTTGTAAAATAGCAAAATTTAGTTTCTCTGTGTAATTGAAGAAACCTTGATGAATTATGTATCTATTTAAAGGTACTGAGAAAATCCAGTAATTTCCTGTTTTTATTCTAAACCCAAAAATATACTGAAAGCAGTGGAGAGTAAAAGAACTATTATTTCAACACTTTTTGGAGTGTGGAAACCATCATGCAGTATGTACAGTGCTGTAATTAGTGTATATCTTTGTGTGTGCATATAAAGGTACAGTTGTAGAAATGGCTACAGTAGCTGAAAAAGTTATTTTTAAAAGTGACATTCCCTTTCATGTGAAGTACTTTAGTGTGACAAGATAAAGTGTGTTGTATTTTATTAAGGAATTTATTCTGCTGTCACAAGTTGCACACAACTTGTCACAAAGCTTCAATAGAAACCTCTTGACCAGAAACCTGGTCACTAATGTCTGTGTTTAACATTTCTGATGAAGCTTTCTCATAGTTAGAAGCAGAAGTGCATTCGTGTGTGTGACAAAGCAGGGAATACCAGATATGTATGTTTATTTGTCTGGGTCACTTCAGGCTTTGGAAGTTTGATAAAGAAACTAGTGATTTAGACTATGGTAGCACTGCCAAGTCCAGAAGGTACTACCACAGTTCCATGGATATGTATATCTGTCTGGAGTGTTCTGCAGGTGCTTCCTCTCTCTGCTGCATCTTCCCTATACATGACTATTCTGGTGTTAGAAGTATGACATTTACAAAAGCAAAACCCAAAAAAGATTTCATCCAGTCTCCTCTGAACATGCTCATTTATACAAAATGCATTGAGGTTATCCCTCTCAGTACCTTGTGGCACTCGGACCTGAAGGGTGGTGAGGCTGCTATTGCAGTGCAGGTTTCTGTGACCTTCAGTAGATCCTCAGAGGTATGAGCGTACTTTTGGAGTTGCATTAAATACCACCTGGTCATGAGGATGGTGGAAGAAAAGTTCTGCATTTCTATCTGCATCTCTTTGTTTGTTGCCATTTTGTTGTGGGTTTGTTTGTTGTTTTGGTTTTTTTAACTCTGTCTTTTCTTGTGCCTGTTTCTATTAATTTATCCTAAGCAATCTTCTCTCTGATGTGCTTAGAGGTTTGAATTGCAGACCTGTATGTTTAGGCATGGTGTTCTAGGAGGTGACCATTTAAACTAGCTTTTTCATTCCTCTGTGAGGGTTACCACTAACAGCAGATGTTAACTAACACTGTTTGAAGCATTTGCTTAGAACATCTAATTCTGAACAAGCACACTTGGAAACTCCAATACAACTGGGCAAAAAAGTCCCCTAATTAAGCCATGGAAAAACTAGTAACTAAACTAAAAAAACCACCCTCTGTACCTGCGCAGCTAAAGGTACTGCCTCTTTGGAAACAGTGCTTTGAAATCTTTTTTTTTGTGTGTGTGTAATGTTTATCTTTCTTCACAGAAGATTTTATTCTAGTAGGATTTAGCTTTTTTGAGAGACAAAACAGTTAAAGATCAGTTGAACATAGGAAAAAATTAACGTATTTTTTGCTTCAAGTTCAGGATAAATGTATTATTACTCTGACTTCATGCTTATAATAGATGGTGATTAAGCAAAAACTCTTTTTACCAATATTCTATTTTAGATGAATTGGAGTTCATTGATTGGGAGAATGATAGTGATTCTACCGATAAGTGCGATGGATCAGAAAAAGATGCCAGCTTACTAGAGATATCAGACTCGGACTCTTGCACAAATATTAATTGTCTGCCTGTCAAAGAAGAGAATGATGAGCTTTGTAAGGTGAGAAACTTTCAAGTTTGAGAAAAAAGGCTTCTGCTATAATTACGAAAGGTATCCATATTTGATTGCATTTAATTTGGGGGAATGTGACAATTTTGCTTACCTTATTTTGCTACCTTACCAAAAGGAATTCTGTACACAAGAGTTTCAAGGCATTTTCTCTGACTGCCAAACATCAAACCCAAGCCCCACACGTAGAGCTTGGTGGCGTGGTCACAGGGTGACCAAGGTGGGAAAGCATCTCTGGAGATTGTCTATCCTCTGCTCACAGTAGGGTCATCTGAAACTATCTGTTCAAGGCTGTGTCTGGTTGGATTTTGAGTGTCTCCAAGAGTGGAGACTCCACAACTTCTCTGGGCAACAAGTGCCAGTGCTTGGTCACCCTTGCTATAAAGCAGCTTGTTCTTATGTTAAAATTTAATTTCTTTTACTTTCAATGTGTGTTCAGAAAGTTATCAGGTGGGTGGGTTTCTCAACAGAGATGTGATGATCTGGATTCTCTACAGCCTCTGGCTGCCTGTGATGAGTTGATGCCTGAATTTCCTGTAGTGTGGTGGGTGAGACAGTTTCATATTTCTCTTTAGTACTTTGAGATCGTGACTAAAAATTCAGGTATTTGGAATAGAATGTGTTCTGAGATCAATGATGAGGCATGAGACTAATTACTAATTAATTTTAGTCATGAGGATTGCAGACCTCGGAAAAGGGGCAGCAGTAAAAATTGAATCTTATCAGCTAAGGTTTGGTACCATTCCCCCCCCCTTACTTTAGAAAATATACGTTTATTTATAATGAAGGCATTCTGCTATGTCAGCTCTAGATCTTTGTTTAGTATCTTACAGTGAAAGGACTTGCATTAAAATACTCCAAATGTGTCAGCACCCTAGGCCGAGGTTAACATTTGGAATGGACTGCGAGTCACTGTCCCTGGAGGTGTTTAAGGAAAGAGTGAACGTCGCAACATGGTCGTGTTGACATCCTGTTGTTCAGTTATAGATTGGACTCGATGATGTCAGAGGCCTTTTCCAAGCCAATTGATTCTGTGATTTACCCTCTGGTGCTGGGGGCTGGTGCCGCCCCGGGGAGCTCCCTGGGATGTGATGGAGAGGCCGGGGCTCGCACGGGCGGGCAGAGCCGAGGGGCTGGGCTGTGACCCCGCTCAGAGGAGCCCAACCAGGGGAAAGGGGCAGCGCTCTCCTGGCAGCATCAGCAGGAGGGCGGGTGTCGGAGGATCCGGGAGGAGCCGGGGATCCGTACTGGAGAAGCCCAGCAGAGGGCACCGCAGGCCCGGGAAGGGACGGGGAAAGCTGATAGCGAAGTGAATTAAAGCCATGCTAAAACCCGTTTAACTTTATGTATCGATCCTCTATTACAATCATCGTGAGTGAGTGTGGGTGGAGTGTGGTAGCGAGTTTTGCTTGCACAGGAGGGAGAGCAACCTCCAGTTTCCCCATGAATCAGCCCCATCACAGGGTCCTGCTGCCTTGCTGGGGCCACAGCGTGAGGAGTCTGGCTGTGGCCCCTCACTACAAGAAGGACATTAAGATGCTGGAGCGTGTTCAGAGAAGGGCAACCAAGCTGGTGGAGGGTCTGGAGGAAAAGTTGTACGAGGAGTGGCTTAGGAACGTGGGGTTGTTTAGTCTGGAGAAGAGGAGGCTCAGGGGTGACCTTATCACTCTACAACTACCTGAAAGGAGGTTGTAGCCAGGTGAGGGTCAGTCTCCTTGGCAACTAGTGACAGGACGATAAGACATAGTCTTAAGCTGTGCCAGGAGTGATTTAGGTTGGAAATCAGGAGGAATTTCTTCACAGAAAGGGTGATTAGACATTGGAATGGGCTGTCTGCAGAAGTGGTGGAGTCACTGTCTCTGGAGGTGTTTAAGGAAAGACTGGACATGGTGCTTAGTGTCATGGTCTAGCTGACATAGTGCTGTTGGGTCATAGGCTGGACTCGATGATCTCAGAGGTCTTTTCCAGCTTAATTGATTCTGTAGTTCTGTGAACATGTGTGACCTGGCTCTAATTAGACTCCTGTGGGTGTCAGTCCCACTTTAGCATCTGTAGCTCAGAGTTCAGCAAGGGTTAGCCAAGAGTTTTCGGGTTTGTGAAGAACTGGTTTTATATACCCCAAGTCACAGACTGCAGCATCAGAAGAGACTCCATGGTCTGTGTAAAGCTGTGAAAACAGAACTAGGATTTATGCAAGTGGTTGTTCTGCTTTTATTATACCAGTATGACTTACCCCAGTGTACGTGGAAAGCTGAATAAATGTTATGAGACACATGTTAGAAAATGGTGCTCATGAGAGGGTTTTTTGGGATGCAACCGTACTTAATAACAGTTTTTTAACCCTAACCACAATAGTTATGCTAGTACAAAAGATGTGGGAACATTAGGAATTTGAGGATAACTCTACAGATTTCCCCTTCCCAGTTGGAGTGCCACACTGTGGAAATTTTCCTGGGTGGTCAGTGTCACCAGAAAACTTTGTTCTGGGAATTCAGTGTATGCAGGAGGGTAAATCCCCAGTGATAGCTGTGCCTGTTGCAGTCTTTGTTTTGCTTTACTTGGGATAGGCTGTTTTCCTAGAAAAAAAACCTGTGGGCAAGCTATTTGAGAGGTTTCCAAGAAAGAATAGAAAAGTAATATTCACTGTAGGAGGTCATTTACTGTATGAGTATTCTTTTAAATTTTGTGGCCTAGTTCATGGTGAGGGAAGTGGGAAAAAAGCCAAATGTTGATATAGCATAGTTTTTGTGGTATTTAGTAAATCTTTAAAATCTAATGGAGTGTGTGGATAATCAAAAGACCATGAAATTTATTTTACCCCACTTCAAAATATGCCAAATACCAAGAGGTTCTGGAGGTTTAAGCTTGCTGCCAAAATATCTTTATGGTAATATTTACCCTTGGTAGGAGTGCACTAGGTTTCTACTGGGAAATCTCAGAAGATTAATAACTATGGCTTCCCCTTCCCCTTATATACCAATATATCTAATTTAAAAATCACTTCTATTTGGTGATAATTAATGACATAGAAAAGCTTCATGTATTGTTTTGGTTGGAAGATAAAACTCTTGCTTATCTCTAGGGTGTAAAGCTACAGTCACGATTCAGTTTACGTTCCAAGTTCCTGTCCTCTGTCTTTCCTATCAACTATCCACTTCTGATGTGTAAAGCTGCTTGAGGAAGGCAAGTTGAGACTGGTGTTGTGGTGAGCAGCTGTTACCTAATTTTTGGTTTCTGTTCAGTACAGAATTTTTGAAGAAAGCATGTGCAAGATGTGACAGGGCCATGCTTTATTTTCCTTTGGATATTTTTGGGTGATGGGAGAGTTATTTTATGTGAGCTTTCCTTTGACTTATAAGTGGTTGAATTTTTAAGATGTTGCAGGACAAAGATCTCACAAGGCCTGATCTTAGAGTTCCTTGGGTTTCAGTTCCAGTGGTAAATGCCTTTTTTCTTGGCATACTAAAATAAAGATTAACCATTAATGTTAGTTTTTTCAGCATACATGTTTTCCAGGAGAGCGTCAAAATTTTAAAAAAATATATTTTTATGCATTGATAGTGACTACTTTTTGCCAGACTTGTGTAGAGACCTTGTCTCATGAGCTGAAATTCCATATTTTGTATGAATTGTTCATCTCTAAATTACTTTTAACTTCTAAATATTTTAATGCTAGGAATTAAATGAGTTTTCCTATAGATGAATTCATGTCTCCTGCCATGCTGCTTCCTAAACTGGGAACTTTCTCTGGCCTCATGCACTGAGTGGCATTGTCTTCCCTAGTGGGATCCTTCCTCAAAACTTAAGTAGGCCAGCATTTTTATGGAGTATGTAAGTTTGGTATTTTATAGAGTATGGTCTTTTCTTTTTGTCCTATATGTTAAATCTACTTACCATTTTCTGATGGGTAGCCAGATTTACTTGCTTTATATGCAGAGCAAGTGAGATTTATCCCAGAATGGTGTGAGGAGAATTTTTCACTCTTTACATTGCTAATGTGTAGAAATTAGATTGTCTTATGTCTTTCCCATGCAGCGTTAATAAAGCTTAACTGGTTATAGCAGATCCTCTTTATCGCAGAGCACACTAATAAGCTTGTCTGCTGATCTTAACTTCTGATTTGGATGAAAATCCTTCAAAAAGTCATATGGTTAAGGGCTTGTTCCCTTTATATCGTAGACCCATGGAATGGTTTGGGTTGGAAGGAACCTGAAAGATCATCTAGTTTCAACCTCTCTTCCATGGACAGGAGACACCTTTTACTAGACCAGGTTGCTCCAAGCCCCATCCAACCTTGCCTTGAACACTTTCAGAGGTGGGACATCAACAACTTCTCTAGGCAACTTGTTCCAGTGTCTCAACACCCTCACAGTAAAGGTTTTCTTCCCAATATCTAACCTAAACCTACTCTCTTTCAGTTTGAAGCCTTGTCCTGTCACTGCACCCCCTTGTAAGGAGTCCCTCTCCAGCTCTCTCATAGGCACCTGGTAGATACTGGTATACATATAGAGTGGCAATATCCTCAAACTGTTGTGCTGTATGAAGATAGTCAACTGAAAAAGAGATTTGCCATATTTTTGTGTGTTTCAAAAATCTTAAATAAATCACTACCATATTCTCAGCTCTCTACAGTCTTGTAGCCTGCGTGTTCTGACAGTGGGTGATCTGATGGGATGTTGATGAATATTGTGCAAAAATAATTTTAATGTTGTGCAAAAGATTTATTTTTGGGTTTTCCCTGAGTGAAGAACACATTATTTGAGAAGTTTTTCCTGTATGTGGATGTGTATAGGTCTGTGTCTTTTACCTGAGGCCTTCTGATCTTTCAAATTAAGGTTCATTCAGTTGCTTAGTTATGGATTTATTGCTGTCCTAACTTTGCTCTTTAAAACCCCCCACACTCTGTCTTTCTGTGGCATTACATTGGGGGGGATTCAATATGCTTAATGAAATTCTGAAGAGGTCACTTTAAAGATGAGTAGGCCAAGATT